ATATGTCAACTAAGTTAGAAGGTCTTTACTCTTTAGCCTTGTTTGAGAACCTATGACCTTGGAAGAACTCTGGGGATTTAAAAAAAAAAAAAATGTGCCTAAGAAATTTTCTCTAAGGCTTTAGCAATGGAAATTTGATTGCCCATTGTATAAGAACAAATTGATTTCCTAACCACCTGATTATGTTCTCTGGTTAGTTTAGCCATTTTCAGCAAAGATCAGATGAACTTAGTGCTTTTGGCTAAACATACTGAATGCTACTTGTATGCAGAAGAGAATTAGATGATTACATGTTTCAACCTTTTAGGGTGGTAAATACATGTATAATTGTTTACATACTGAAAAGGAAAAAGTTGAATAAATTTCTTGTCAAATAGCGGCTCTACTTAATGTAGCCTGTATTAATGTGAAATATTTACCAGAATATTCAATAAAAAGATGAACAGTGTTTAGATGTGGGGTGTGATCCTTTCAGTGTTTATGCAGGTACCACCCAATCCACAATCATATTGAACCAGATTGTTAACACTGTATTTGTGACATGCTTCTCACATTTGCCCTTTAGGGTCCACTCTTAGACTACCTTGAAAAGGACTGTTAAGACTTACTATTTATTCTGCATTAAATATTCTTTGTTCCCTGTTGTCTTCCATATCATTTTACATATGAAAAAGTTCAGGCCCTGGCAGTGTGTTCTTATCTGACTTTAGCAGATAGACCACTGTTTGGCTTTGCTCTTTATGGATCATGAGAATGGTAATGGGAACTTTTGGATTTAAATCAGTTGATACTGAACAAATTTAGGGACACCTGAATTACCAACTTCAGTTTCCTTTTGTGCTTCCTGACCTTTATTAGAGTTGGAACATAAGAGAAGGGAGATGCTTGTTATTCCATTGTATTGTTGAACCAACTGAGTAATGTTTTTAAAAATGTGACTAATTCTGTGCTTAGTTCCATGGCTCCAATATGAAGAGCCAATATGTGTAACAAGCTAAAATACCAGAACACTGGAATGGGTCAGCCAAACCATACACTATGCCAAGCATCTGATGCATAGAAAAGGAAAAATTATCCTATTAAAAGTATATTCATTGACTTGTTTGTATTTTAATCTCCTGGTCTTATGTGTAGGCAATATAAAAAAAGAAAATGTTTTGGGGATAATAGAAAAGGCAAAGGAGGAGGATGCACAGAATAAAAGGAGTAACTAGGGGCAGAACCATGTAGCACTTTTCAATTCATTAACAGTAGGATTTTTTTTTTTTTTTTTTTTTTTTTTTGCAGTACTGGGGTTTGAGTTCAGGGCCTACACCTTGAGCCACTTCACCAGCCCTTTTTTGTGTTGTGTATTTTCAAGGTAGGGTCTCAAGAACTATTTGCCCAGGCTGGCTTCAAACCACAATCCTCCTGATTTCTGCCTCCTGAGTAGCTAGGATTATAGGTGTGAGTCACAGCCACCCAGCTAACAGTAAGAATTCTTAATTTTCTCTGCCCAGGTCCTAGAGCTGGCATCAGATCAGACATACAATGTTTGTTACATATTAGACATAACCTGTTTCTTTGGTCTTCTACTATCTTACATATGAGAAAACTTCCTTAAGTTCATTTTTTATTTTCCATTTTTAATGGATTTGAAAATTACCACTGGTGTGAAGTTACTGCCCTTTTTTAGCAAGGGTCTGTCTAGTCCAGTTTGGGCTGGCCTTGAACTTACTTCGTAACTAAGACTGACCTCAAACTCATGATCCTCCTACCTCAGCCTCCTGAGTGCTCAGATTATAGGTATGCATCACCATGCCCAGCTTCAGTTACTGCCTTTCTATTGGTTGATAATCACTTTAAGCTCCTTACACTGGGGAAGATAAAAGACCCCTACATATCTTACTGTTTCGACTTACCACTAGCAATTACCTAAAATTAATTAGATGAATGAAAGTACTGAAATATACACTAGAGAGAGGTAGTATTAAATTAATTATTCAGTGGGACCAAAAAAAGAGATGAGTTTTGTTGTTCTGTCTTAACTATCTGATATATTTGAATTATCTGAAGAAACCCTTAAATCTCTGTTCTACACCTTGAAGACAAGAAGTTTTATCTCAGATCAAGAATTAGAACCCATAAAGAAAAAGGCAGGAGAAACTTCTAGGAGAAAAGGAAGAAATAGGAGCTGTGCAGAAATAATTCTGGAAGTAGTTCTTTAGGATATCCTCCTCCCTTCCCTCTTATCAGCACTGCCTTCCTTTCTTTCTATTTGGATCCTCTTCTCTGCCTGCCGCTTCCTGGCTTTCTTTACTGCTATTTTACCAACTTGAACATTGGATAAATTCTAGCTCAGGTAAGAATGGATTACTTTAAAATATACAAGGGATGGAGGGAGGCAATCTGGGTACAAAGAGTCAGAAGCCTAAATTCTGTTGTCATTTCTACCACTTGAAGCTGTATGACTTTAGGCAAGTTATTTCACACTTCTGGGCTTCACTTTCCTTATTTAAAATGAAGTTGAACTTACATGACCTCAAAGGAGTCTTCTAGTTCTAATGCAGATTTTCTTCTCTTTCATTTGTGAATGAAAATATTTGGTATGGGAATACTGGAAACCATTACTCTGGTTTGGTTTGGTTCTAATACGGAATCAAAAGGCTATTCTGGGGACCAGTATTGATTTTGAGATTTTAGTTAGAGGCAGAAGAAAATCTTCCACATCCATGGTGAGCTCTCAAGTCATTAAGAAACATCCTGCTAAGGCATGGGTCAAATCCCATGAGAATAATAGCTCTCTCAAGAAATAAAACTGTATCATCAAGGTTTCCTGACCCACTTATTTCAAGCAGTATTCAATATAATAAAATTCTACCAACAATAAATTTATTAATGTTTTAAGAACCCTTTAAACTTATTATGGCTACAGTGTGGTGACTTACCCTTTTATAGGCCACTCTGCTTTCTTCAGTCCCTGCTCTCAAAGGGGAAATCCTATCACCTCAGCTAACCAGACCAAAGAAGAGAGTTGGACAGCCAGTGGTGGCCTCTCCTAACCAGAGGTAAGAAATCTCAGGACTTGGAATTTTGGTTTCCATCTGTTTGTGTAGATTCTGGCCAAATTCCCCTCCCCACCTCAAAACTAGTAAGAAGACTATCATCAGTTTGAGTTAGCTTGTAGAAGTGGAAAAGCTACTCATATGATAGTTTCAAGCCAAACAGAGAGGAGGACTTGGTATACAGGTTTTTTTGTTCCACTGTTGAAGACCTTTGGACCACATTGTAAACCCAGGAAATGGCAAACAAGCCTGTAGAAAACAGCTTATGAACACTTTGTTCTCTGACTAGCAAGAAACACTTCTACCAAGAAGTGTGGCTGGTCATGACGTCTTCTCAGTTGACCCTGTCCTAGTATGAGGAGCTGTGATAACACTGCATTTTCTATTTACTTTAAGTTATTTGCTGGATTGACAACAGGCAGGTTCCTTCTTCTCTGTGTCCTTTAGGAAATGAGTGAGAAAACGTGGTTTTAAGTATACAAATCTTGAGTATGTTAAGACCACCTCCAATAAAGGACATGAAGCCAGATTCATGCTATTACCTTCTGAGGCAAAAGGATCACGTTAGCCCAAGAGTTTTTTGTTTTGTTTTGTTTTTTGCAGTACTAGGATTTGAACTCATGGCCTCAGAAGGCTGATGCTCCACCAGCCCTACCCCAGGGGTTGAGACCAGCCTGGGCAACATATATACTGAGACCCTAGTCTCAAAACAATAATAATAAGGCATGAGCTTGGGCTTCAAGACATAATTTAGAAAACAAGATCATGAATCAAATTACCTGATTTAAAACTTATCCTGTGATTAACTTTTCACTGCTTATTTTATCTTAATGGCATTGGTGTGAATCCAAAGCATTTTGCCTGATGGCAAAGACCTGGTGTTTCCTTATAGGTTTAATTGGATCTCTAGAGGTGGGCCTGGGCATAGGTGTCTTTTGTTTCTTTTAAAACCTTCCATTTCTAATGGATAATTACTGTTAACCCCCTAATTTAAATTCCTGTTCCTTCATCCAAGTTGCATGGATGTTGAACCTGGTTTTCTCTCTAAAGCCAACTATCTATCTTCTATTTCCCCAGCCCTTAGCATACAGTGTCTCCAGAGAAGTTAGCTACAAGTAATAGTCACTGTAGTAGTAATAGCTGCTTTTGTAGTAAAGATTCATAGAAGGAAGACCTCACTTGACCCTTCTTGAAAGCCTTCTCTTCTAGTTTTATGTCTGACTACTTTTTCTGGGTCTGTTTTGGTGAATCTTCTTCCTTAAATAAAACTTGATGTGCCTAGGCCTCTAACACTCTGTCTTCTTCCCAGGTGATCTCATCCCATACTCTTGGATTTCATTCCACTCAAATCTGGAACACTAGCCCTGGGTTCTATCCTTGAACTTCAGAGCAGTTATATTGAGCTCCTTACTGTACTCTTTCTGGGCATCACATACACTATTCATTCCCCAATATAAAATATCTCCCTCTTCTTATTCTCACTGTTATTAGTGTTCTTGGTACCAAGACTCAAGATAGAAGATTGGAAATTGTCCTAGCTTATCTCATTTCCCTCACCCTACCTTTAATCAGTCACCTTGTCCTTCCTCCTCTGTTTATCTAAATCTCAATCCACTTTTCTCTTTTCCTGGTAGCCAACAGCCCTTTTACCCACCCACTTTCACTATAATGGACTCCTGACCTTCAATCTCACCATCCTCTACCCCTTAACTTCTCCCTCCTGAGAGGCTGTCAAATGACTCCCCACAGTCTGCTCCCAAGCCTTATCCTCCAGAACTGTTAGGATATTTCATTTTTAGGCATGTACCATTTTGTAAGAGGCTCAAAAAACTTTTTTGGAACAATCAATATGTATACCCTTGCTACCTGAAATAGGATTCTTAGGACCTGCAGCATTTGTATTACCTACAATTGTATTAAAAATTCATACTCTCAGTACAGAATTACTATATCATAATTCTCATTTTAACAAAATCTTCAGGTGATATATATATATGCACACACTGAAGTTTGAGATGCATAGAATATATAATAATGATAATAAGTGAAAAAATCAGAGCTAAGATTAAATCTAATAAAGCCAAAATTGAAGTAATATTGCTCAATGCATGCAATCAGTGGCCTATACTTAATTTGAGGAGTTGGCATGAGGATAGTGCTGATTTAAAAGAAGCCAAACAGGAAAACTGGATGAAGTCAAGATTTTTAGTCAAGATTTATAGTTATTAGACTTAGTACCCCTCACCTCTCTGACCTATAGTTATCACTGTGCCTACATAAAAAATAAATTTTTTTGGTAGTACTAAAGTTTAAACCCAGAGCTTCGCACTTGCTAGGCATGTGCTCTATTACTTGACCCACACTTTCAAGCCTTTTTTTTGCTTTAGTGATTTTTCGGGTATGACCTGAGCCACGATCCTCCTAGTTAAGCTTCCTGCCTAGCTAGGATAGGTGTGGATGACAGGTGTGTTCTGTGTCCAGCTTTTCCTTTAATATGGGTCTTGCTTTTTACCCTAAGTGGCTTCAAACTGATCTCCTCCTCACCTACACCTCCCCAGTAGCTGGGATTACAGAGGTAAACCACCTTACTTGGGTCTACATTTAAAAAAAAACAACTGAGGCTGGGTGTGTAGCTCAAGTGATGCTTGCTTAGCCCCCAGTACTGCCCCAAAACTTCAAGGTGAGACTCCAACTTTCCTTTCCAGAGAGCTAACAGGCCAAGCCCTTCCTTAGTTACCTATGGCATATCAAAGGGTGGACCATCAAACTTCCTGTCCCCCAGCTTTTACTCTTTCAGCCTGCAGTTGGTTGTTTATGGAAGGCAGTAGCCAGATTTTCTGAAGGGCTGAGGCTCTATGGTCAGAGATTCTCCTCTTGGCTTATTTGTATCATCATCTTTGTAAAGTGTGGGTACTTTGTATGTCATTGTCCAAAACTTGAAAGGAATAGGTGAGAGAATACAGGGCAGTAAGTCCTGCTGTACCTCACCTGCTCGCAGTAAATAGCTGAGCTGCTGTAGTTAGAGGCAAGCTAGCCAGTGTTAACTCAGGAAAATCTGCAGGTCATTGCAGAGCCTGGAACCCTTTTCCAGCTGTAGCTTCCTGGATTTGCTCCCTAGCGGGTAGGCGGGAACGTCGGATTGAGTAATGGCAAGTGGCCCGCCCCGGGCGTGACGTAGTCTTAGTGTTGTTGCCTGTGGCCGCACGTGGTCAACTAAGTCCACCTCTTACTCAGAGCTGCGCTCCGCGTCCACAGCACCAGGCGGTTGCCTTCCTGCTGCTCCTGCTCGCTATGTCTACGTCCACGAGTTGCCCGATTCCCAGGGGCCGGGACCGGCTGCCCCACTGCTACAGCACTACGCCTGGGGGCACTCCATACGCCACTACCCCGGGAGGTCAGCGGGCCGGGCCGGGGTCTGCACAGTGCGAGCAAACCAGCGCGTGTGTGCTGTTGTACGGCAGGGGTGGGGAGGTATGGGCTTTGTACTAGTTTGTAGCCTCTTCTGCAGGTTGTAACTTTGGGGGAGAATGTTTGGAACACAAACTCAGTTCCCAAATGCCTTAAGATGATGCAACAATGCCTTGAGCCCAGCTTCCAATTTGCCCTGGGCTGTAATTCTTAACAGTGGCCTGAGTTCTGGGCGTCATACTTATGCTACTGCCCCTAGAGATTTAGCTGCCTGCGAGCAGTTTAGGTTCCAACAGAACGTGGCCTCAGCAGGAAGCCACAGGTCTTGAGAAGCGATTTAGAGCAGTTGTGCGCCTGGCTGGTAGCTGTTTGGCTGGGCAAGCAGCTTGGTTGGGTTCATGAACTGCTGGGCTGGCGACCCAAGGCTTCCTGCCACGTGAAGAGGATACTATGTTGGCCTAGTTCCTCTGGGCTAGGCTGAGCTATAAAGGACTTGGGAGGGGCCAGGTTAAGAACAGTATGTTCCTATGCTTCACAGGAAAAGCAGTTGCCCAAGGAACACAGCTCTCTACTGGAAATAAAAGCCAGGTGGCAGTACTGAGTGAAACCCTTCACTACTACTCAGCCTTTTGATCTGTTGGACTACTAGGTCCCACCTGTGAACCAAAGCAAGGAAGTTTCTAAGCAGTAGAGGAGCAACATGAAATATCCAAGTTCACCGGTTGATGCTTCTCGTAGAGCCAAGACCTGAAGCTCCCCCGGACCTAAAGCCCCTGCTTGGACCAGCTAGAATGCCCCACTCACTGTATGCTGTTTAGATACATATTAGTTAGGCCTATAAATCTTTCGGTGATATAAAGGCTTGCCAGATACAATCCTAGTTGGTCTGCAGAGCAGATGTCTCTGAAACAGGAAAATGTGACCCTTCCCTTCCCCCAAGAGGCCCATATCTGGAGCCCAAGTTATCTGTGTACCCGATTTCCCAACTCTTAACTCAGCCCCTACCCCTTAACAGGCACCAGGATCATCTACGACCGAAAGTTCCTGCTGGAATGCAAGAACTCACCCATTGCCCGGACACCCCCCTGCTGCCTCCCTCAGATTCCCGGGGTCACAACTCCTCTAACAGCCCCAACCCCCAAGCTGGAGTTGCTGAAGGAGAAGGAGACAGAGGAAGAGATACCTGGTAAGTAAAACCTAAAATTAAATACCGCAGCCTTTGAGTTCAAATGCCTCTGTGGAGAGGGATTTTCTACTCTGACATGGGACCTACAGACACCCAGACCAGCAACCAGTCCTCTCTTGCCTTCTCTTTCCAGATGATGCACAGTTTGAAATGGACATCTAATCCAGTGCAGATGACCCCACATCTGGAGTTATAGAGGGATCCCTCATGCTGCCGCTGCTGACACCACCTCTTTTTGGGGTATCCCAAGGCCAATTGGCCTCATTTAATCTGGAAGAGTGACTTGATGGTTCTGGGTTTCCTTTAGTTCTGAGGCCACTAGACCAAAGATAGGAGTGGGCAACTTGTCAAGCCCTTAACTCTATTTTCTCCTTGGTCTGTAGGTACTCCTTCTAACCTCCAGCCCTCTGCTTAGGGCTGGCACTGGGGGATGCAGCATGTCAACTTTTGGCTGCTTAGTAAACATTCAAAGAAATGTCTTGGCTCTAGTTGTTCTCAATGCTTATCTTCTCACCTCAGCCACACAGCTGGCCTGGTTAAAAGACCCCAGGTCTTTTTATGGCTCCCACTGGGCCTGCTTCCAACAGCAATTAGAGCTTAAGGCAAGCTATAGGAGTTGCCAAACCATAATCCGCAATAGCCTGGTCCTTGCCAAGGGCTGTTCCTTTCTTTCCAGGAAGCATTTTCTTGGAACTAGGCCTCCCTAGCAGTGCCTCTGTCCATTCCTAAGAAGAACTCCCAAAAGAGAGTTACTATCCCAGCTTATAGCCATCTCTAGTCTCCCCTTGCCTTTTTTCCTACCTGTGAATATCAATCCCCATTCCAATACTCAAACCTACTATCCTACCAACTCTGTTTATTGAGGGTTAAAAGAGACTTTAGGTTTCACAGTGAAATCAAAAAATGTGGCACCAACTTGCTTGGTGAGTCATGATCATAAATCTTAGTAATATGGTCTTTTTTTTTCTTCAACTTACACAGGAGAAACTCCCTGGTTCTAATTTCTGTAAAGTAAGTGTGTGTGTGTGTGTGTGTACACACACACATATGTATATCTCAAAGCTGATATAGTGCAAAAAGAAGAGTCTTTCCTTTTCTTGAGGGAAAAATGTCCCCATGCTATTTGAATCTGTTCTCCACATAGCAGGTGATAGTGCTTTTCAGTCTAATTTTGAGAAAAGTGGCAGGCAGCAATCTGGCCTTTCATGATAAAGGACAGCAGAGGTTTGCAGGGTATTGGGACAGTCAACACCAGAAGGGATGAGTTTGGCACAGGAAGGGCTCATCTCTCCTACGCAGTGCCTACCACTGATATGTTTTTATTGAAATGCTTATAAGTAACCTCCCTGTAGCCCAGGTAGGATCTTGGGTCAGGCCCAACAGGACAAAATCTCCCTGGTGATAAAAGGGAGTCAAGTAAGAGAAAGCCCTCCCACACCAAGACACAGAGATGGTGTGAGGTGAGTCTAGAGAGCCCCAAGGATTATGGAGCCTGTTGGAAGCCTGGTATAGCCTGGTCCTCCTTAGTTGTAGCTGCAGATTTCTCTTCCTTGGTCTCTTCCTCAGAAGACAGACTTCTCTTTTCTGCAATTAATCTTTTAACTCCTACCATCCACTGACTGACCTCAGTCACATGGTCAACCATGAGTGAGCGGTGGATGTCATCTGCTGCATCCCACTGGTGGCTTGAAAGTTCTAAAGAGAGAAAGAGCTTGAGCAAGCATACAGGTGTAAAAAGGACAGCTTCCATGATTCCCCTCCCAGTCAGTCAAAGTCTCAGAACCTGTTCCAGCTTAGCCAACCATGGTAGGAAAAAGGATTTAAACTGTACCAAGGAACCCACCCATACCTTGAACCAGTAGTGCCATCCTCTTCTTTACAGGCATTGACAACTTCCCTCCAGCCCACTGTTCCTGAAGCAGTGCCAGGCGCCGGCTGATGTCATCACATACCTGCTTCTACGAGACAAAACCCCCTTCCAACTCAGTGCTGCCAGCCCAGCAGAGAGGAAGGCAGCACCTCATAGGAAGCACTTGCTTTCTCTGGCCCAGCACCTTTACACTTAGTACTTAGAGTTCTGTTTCTTTTCCAAAGGTTAGAGTCCCCCCCACCCCCCACTGAAAACCTGAAGAAGCCTATGGATACTTCCCAAGAAAAAGTACTTGTATGGCTACAATTTTTAAATTTCAGGGCCTGCTCATACCTAAGAAGCTCACTTGTTACTTTGCAAATAAGGAAACTAAGAGCCAAAGGTAAAATTACCATGCTGCTTCCCTTTTCCTTGATCCCTTGCCTCCAGAGAATTTAGAAAATACTATCAATAGAAGGGGATTTCTCCCTCTCCCACTGAGTACAACATAAATTCACTGAGCACACAGAGCACCAGTGTAATCCTAGCTATTTGGGTGGCTGAGATCAGAAGGACTGCAAGGCCAGCCCAGGCACATAGTTCACAAAACTCCCACCTACAAAATAACCAGAGCAAAATGGACTGGAGGTGTGGCTCAAGTGGTAGAGCCCCTGCTTTGCAAACACCAAGTCCCAGTCGAACAACAACAACAAAATTCCCTTAGCACAAAATCAGCAGGACATGCTTTGCATGGCCTGGAGGTACAGAAAGTCAAGCTGCTATTTTTCACTGCTGAGTTGAATTCAACTCTTACTCCCCCCTCCTAAAGTCATATGTTCATTTTCCTGGGAAGGCTTCAGCAAATTTCTATGGTGTTAGAACCATAGCTCTAAAAGGATTAAGAACCATTGCCCAAAGGGTCAGAGTCTGCCTTTGGGAGCCATACCTGCATTTGGCTGTGGATAGAAGTCCTCTCCACCCACATGGAGTGCCATCGCTTACCCTTGTATGGCCCCGGCAGTCCTCCAATGCCTGTTCCAGAGGTCTCAGCACATCCTCCATCACAGCCTCAGACTCTATGATTGGGACACTTGTGGGCTCCACATCGGAGGCAGGACAACTCCCCACAAGTGGAGGCCTGGAAACCTTACTTGAAGGAGGTGGAGGCCCCATTGGAGAAAGCCCAGAAGAAGTCTCTGAAGAAGGGACTGAAAAGGAAAAGGAGAATCAAGCAATATAGTTTAAATAGGTAAGAAGCTTAACTCTAAATTAACCCTTTCTAAGCAGGGATACTCTGGACAACTCATTCATTCAAAAATGTGTGTGAAATCCCTATTATATTCAGGCAGTATGCCAGGCACCAAAGAGAAAAGTAAACCAGACAGACTAGGTTCCTAAACTCCCGAGAGTTTAAATTCTAGAGGAAAGAAAGAAAAGCACAAGAAGATTACCAAATTATGTTATGTGCTACAAAGAAACAAATGGATTATGTGATACAGAGCAATAAGGGGACCTATCTAAAGTATTCAAAGAAGATACTCTGAGTTTATCCCAGCTCATCTGATATGTGACCTTCCACAAGTTACTTATAACCTCTGGGCTTGAGTTCCTCTTATATAAAATTGGGGTATTATAGTAACACTTACTCACACAGTTGAGGATTATGAATATAGGTACAGCTGCTAGATTAGTATGTAGAAAAAAGTATTCACAATGTTAGCAATTTTAATAAATTAAGAACTAATGCATGTGACAAATGTAGCTATGAAGAGTTGAAGGAACAAGTATTAGGTGAAGGTAAACACAGTGCTGAAGGGACAGAAACAAGGCCTGTGAGGACAGAAATGACTAGTACTGAAGAAAGTATGAGCCATCACTGTTGAGTTTAAGGGGTCCAGATCCTGCAGGGTCTTGGAGGAATTTGGTCTTAAGCCAAATAATCCTGTGAAGCCAATTCAGGTATATAAAAGCAAGGGATGGTATGAACAAACTTATTTTTTAAAATATACTCTGTGAAAAACTGATAGACCAGATCAAGAATGGAGGCAGGCAGCTGGTTAATAGTGTAATCCAAGAAACAGAATACTGGCATGGACTAGGGTGAAAGATTAGATGAGGGAAAATAGTGGTATAAGATTTATTTGGGAGAAAGTAACAACAGGACTTGATGGTTGGAGGTAAGAAAGAAGACTCAAGATGACCGACTGATGTCAGTGACTGAGAAGAGATGTAGGAGGAAAGTTAACTTACTTTTAGGCCTCAACACCCACAAGGATTTATGTATCTAATAATCTGGCCTGTCAATTATTTGACCTTAGCAACTCCAATGAGCATTTTGTTCCACCCTCTTATTCCTCCTTCCTTTTCCAGGTCAACTCATAAACATTCTTACCTCCTCTATTTTTTCCTCCTATCCTACTTACCTGGTTGAACCAAAATGCCTGCACTTGGGAGGAAAGAACTATGTTGACAAGTTACACTTTTTTTTTTTCAAGTTACACTTTATAATTTAACAATTTTTAAACTTATTTTAATATGGTTCTGGGTTTTGAGCCTAGGGCCTCACGCTTGCCCTGATGCTGCCACTTGAGCCACATCCGCTCCCCCCTTCCTAATTTAATACTTTCCATTGTCACAGATTCTAAAAGGTACCAAATGCTGGATGCTTTGCCACATTTTCCACACTTCAGATCAACTATTTTTACATCTTATTTCTTCTAAACTTTTCTTCCTTTCCCTACTGTTTTACTACTTCTGACCCTGCCTCATATTCACTGAGAAAATATAGGTCATTAAACGGGGACTCCTACTAACCCATATTTATCAGTGGCCACTGTCCTTTCCTCCTATAACAGATGAAAGGTTCCTGCTCCTATAAAAAGCCATCTCTGTAGCTGTCCTCCCCATCTCAGCATCTCTTCTTTAGGCCACCTTCCTATAATTATCCCCTTTCTCTTCCATCATCAGTTCTTGCTTTCTACTGAATCATTCCATCAGCGTACAAATGTACTGTACTGTTTACTATCAAATACTTAGGCTAGGCACCAGTGGCTCATGCCTATAATCCTAGCTACTCAGGATGCAGAGATCAGGAGAATCAAGGTTCAAAGCCAACCCAGGCACATAGTTCAAGAGACCCTATCTTGAAAAAACCCAACACAAAAAAAGGGCTTGTGGAGTTAAAGTGTAGGCCCTGAGTTCAAACCCCACTACCACAAAAAAATAAAATGTTTCACATTATTCCATTTTCAGATGTTGCCCTGTTTCTCTGCTTCAAAGAATTTCTTGAATACACTGTCTACAGTTACTCTGTTTTTCATATTGTCTCATCTTTAGTCTTTTCAGCTGAGTTTCTATTTTCATCACTCCAGAGATGGCTCTTGTTAAAGTCACCAGTGATTGCAATGTTTGTCAAGTCTAGTGATCCCCTCTCTAACTTATTTGACCTATCAGCATTTTTCACTGTCTATTCATGATTTTACTCGCTTATTCTTCTTCTTTGGCCATTTCTCAATCTCCTCCTTTGATGATCCCCTCCATATGCAACCTTGAAATGCTGAAGCATCCTAGGCCATGTTTTGAGTCTTCCTTAGTCCTCTATCCCCACTCTCTCCCTATGTGACATTAATTAAGCACATGACATCAAAATACCAGCCATATATAAAAAAATCAGCCATATAATAGTGACTATTTCTATAATTCTGGCCTAGACCTCTCCCAAAGAGAGCAGCCTAAACTAAATATGGCCCAAAGGAAAGCTTGTTCTTCCCCTCACCACAAAACCCCTATCTTCCAATATTTCCATAATAATTTTTAAGTTTTATTGATTTCTCCCCTACTTATTCCTACTTTGTACACAATGTATTCCGTATTCAATTTTTACCATCCCTCCACTACTCCCATTCTTGTCCAGATCCATTAGATCTTGATTGTATTATTGTAATAGCCTCGTTCTTTATTTCTTCCCTAAAATTTTGTTTTCCACACAAGACCCAGTGATCTTTCCAAAATGTAAAGTCAGTGTTTCTCAAGCTGAGGAGAGCTGGAAAGACTTTGCCCCCAGGGCAAATGTCAGCCCATAACTAAGTGGTGCTACTAGCGTCTACTAAGTAGATATCAGGGATGTCGCTAAAGAATCTATGATACAGCCAGGCAATAGCAACTCATTCCTATAATCCTAGCTGATTGGGAGGATTGAAGTTTGAGGCCTGCCTTGGCAAATAGTTCATGAGATCCCATCTCCAAAATAACCAAAGCAAAATGGACTAGAAGTGTAGCTCAAGCAGTAGAGCACCTGGTTTGCAAGCAGGAAGCCCTGCATTCAAACCCTAGTTCCACCAAAAGAACTTATACAAGACAGTCACTCTAACAAAGAATAATCTGACTCCGATTATCAGTAGTGCCCAGGTTAAGAAACTCTGCCTTATATCATTCCTTGGCAATGAAAAGGATATTGTGGATGAAGGGATGATGAAAGAACTGAACCTCAGCTCCGTGTGAGATGCTTCAGTCAACTTACTGACCTGAGAAATTCTGAGAAAAGGTAGTTATCCTTGACTTTAAAGTTTTCAATGGCTTCCACGTTTGAAGGTTGAACCAGGACTTCACACATGCTAGGCAAGCACTCTACCACTGAGCTTGCCACATCCCAGCCTGCTTCCAACTTTAAATAGATTGAAATACAAACTCTTTATCTTGTTAAAACACTGTTTTAGCCACTCCATTCCTTCAGTCTCTGAACTAGCCAAACTTAACACTCGAGATGCTTTTGTGCCTGATCTTTATGCAGCTGGCTCTTAATCACATTTCAACTTAAATGTCAGCCCCTCAGACACATAACTTATTTGCCCAGTTAACTATCACATTACTCGCAGCCTCTCCCACTATCTCATCTTTCGGTCTATCTCTAACGCTAGTGTGGACTTGGACTCCGTGAAAGCATACACATACCTCAGATTTAACGTGTTTATTATAGACTCAAGTGAAGACGCAGAACAGACAAATGGTTATACCACTCTGTGGTTCTGGGAAGAGGTCTAGGTTGGAAACAAAATTTGAGAATAATCTGCATGAGACCACCCAGGGTGAAAGTCCTTTTTAACACAACACACCGTTTATTGCCCTGAACTCCAAAAGGGAGTTGGGGGGTCGGAAAAGCGCCTGCTTTGAGCCCTTCTGTCCCAACTCTCCTAAGAAGACCTTCTAGAGGGAAAACAGGCTTCCCCGGCACCGCCCACTCTGCGGATCTCCACACGTCGCGCCCTCACGCACCTCTGGGGAATCCATCCTGGGGCGCGGCGACCCTCTTGGTTAGCGGCGTGCGCTTGGGTCCACCAGTCTGGGTCTGCAGCCCGTATGAGAACTGCGGCGGGTCGTTCCAGCCGCGCTCCTTGTTGCCTGCGGAGGCGAGGGGATGTGTGAAGCTACACTGAGACTTCACCGGAGGACTATACTGAGGCTGGGGGAAGACACTCCGTACCCAGCGCCCCCAGCCCGCCGGCCGCGCTCACCCGGCTTCACGTATAGCTCCGCCATCACCACTTCCGCACCGCCAGCAGGGCAGTGCGTCATTTCCGGCAGCTTACACACGCGGACTCGGGTCCGCCCCGACCCAGGCTTGCTGCCTTGGAGCTGGTGGTCCACCGCGCCTCACAACCACCGGGAGCCGTCGTGGGGACCCCGCGCCAACTCCTTTAAAGGGCTCAAAATCACCAGCTAATCATCTGTAGGGGTCCTGGTCATAAGGCATCCGATGGGTCTGGTTTTATAAGAAGCAGGCGGCGCTCCAGGAGCCCTCGTTCTCTCTGGGTACAGAGACACTTGGTCCAGTGTCTTCAATTGCTCTCAGGTACAAGTTCAAACATTAGAAGCTCGAGCCCCTCTCTGATCTAGCCAGGTTGATCTCTGGAGCCTCACCTGTGTCAGTGGGCTTCCCTGCACAATCTCTACATTAATTTTCTCTAGGCTCCCTAAACAGTAACTTACCTTCTTTCAGTACTCAACTTAGATGTCAGCTCCTCAGGATGTCTTCTGAAATGCCTTAGACCAGGTTAAGTGTCTCACCTGAGCTTCTACAATTCTGAGATTTCCCGGTTGTATCAGGCAGTATCTTCTATCTTGTTTGACTCTTGTTCATTTCCCTTCTGAGTGTCAGAATGTAGGACCCTGACTAGTCCATCCGCAGTGCCTAGTTTAGTGCCTGGTACAGAGAAGACCTTCAAAAATGTTTGTTAAATGAATGGAGTCATATTTCCATCACATCCATGCCCTCAGGATTACAAGTAGTCACCAACACCTAGCACAGACACACCTCATGTTGTGTTGGCCCCCAACCCTATCCCAGGTCCAATATACTCACACCTAGTGAGGTCACTGAGGGATTTTTATTTGCACTGATTTTGCTATAAAGTGTTACTGAGGTAGAGCCAATTGTCCAGGGCTGGACAGGGCAAGGAACAGAAGTACCCAAGGAAAGGGGAGCCAGGGGCCTAAGTTGTAGTGCAAGGCCTCTTAGTTATCCATATAAACAATAAGTTGGGTAATAAATAGAGTGTAGGCAAGGATTGGGGCAGGCAAATAAGAGGGAGAGGCTCCAAGCCCCTGGGAAAGAGTTGGGCATAGATCCAGGGCTTCCTTTCCCAGCCCTCTTAAGATCATTTTAGGGCATATGGAGCAGAGAGGGTTTCAGCCGGAAGGCATCAAGAAAAGAGAAGACACCCCGCTTTCTAGGGGTGGCTCCTGCACCCCCAATCCCTCCTTTGAGTAGGGGAAGAGGCAGGGGACCTCCTGGGGAGTCCATGGAGCTGGTCCGCTTGAGGCGCAGGCGGGCACGGGCCTGGGCACCCCAGGCCTTGCCTCGAGCTGCAGAGGCCACAAGACACTTCTGGTACTGAACCTAGGGAGAAGGGGAATGTGAAGATCCAGCTACTTCCTGCCCCTGCACTTACTTAAACCTTCTACAAGTCAGGGAAATGGCTAGGTCTTCTAATAGGAGGCTAGTAGCTATTATCTGCAGTCTCTATAGCGTTCCCAGGTAGCTCAATAACAAAATCATAAAACTGACATTTACTGAGCACTTAAGGAGACCTGAACACTGTGCTAAATGCTTTGTATAATAACCTAATTTAATCCAGTTGTTTATGAGATACTGACCCCATTTTGCAAATGAGGATAATGAGATTCAGAAAGTAAATGACTTATCCAAGGTTACACAGACAGAAAATGGTGTAAATGACACTCAAACCTAGTTCTAACTGCAAGGCCTGTATTCTTAACTGCACCTACCACTACTGCCTCTCCTCCATCTCACTCTTCTGGGCCAGCCTCTGGCAAAGCAGATTCTCAAGTCAAGAGGAAGTTCTACAACTCACCTTTTTCTAATACAATTGCCCCACTCATTTCTCATTTGAACTACTCAAAGAGGGTCCTAATTCCTTCCAAACTCCTCTCTCTTCCAATCTTTTTCTTGGTGGTACTGGAGTTTGAACTAGGCGGGAACTCTAACACTTGAGCCATGCCTCCAGCCCTTCTTTTGCTCCAGTTATTTTGGAAATATGGTCTCGCTTTTGGACCTCGACCCACCTATTTTACACTTCCTGCCATCACTGGGATGACCACCATACCCAGCCCTTTCTGTTGAGGTGGGGTCTTGCAAACTTTTTTGCCCAGGCTGGCTTGGAATTACAATCCTCCCATCTAAGTCTCCCACTTAGTTTGGAATGACAGGCATCTAACACTGTGCCCAGCTAACATTTTTGCATGGCTTGGCCTCAAACCACAATCCTTCCGATCTCTCTCTCTTAAACTTATACTGTAGTTTAAGTGGTCATCCTAATGCACACATCTGACTTCACTCCCCTGCTCAAAACTCTTCTGTGGTTCCTAGTGCCTTGGGATAAAATAAACTCTATCCTATAAGGTCTTCCATGACCTGTTTCTGTCATTCCTTCTCCCCTCATCTATCACTGCATCCTCCCTTGCATGCCACATACACCATATTCTTTCAGATGCTTTAAACCACTAACCTCTCATTTTCACAGCTGAGGTTCTTTGTGTTTGACATACCCATCACCTAATCTGGATCATTTCCTCTTTCAGCCTATTTTCTATCACCTCTTATAGATGACCTTCCTGACATATGAAGGAGCATCTCTTCCATCGTCCTGTGATGTATAACTTCTTCTTGGTTTGTTTCTACTCTATCCTAAATGTTTTGTTTTGGGGAGGGGGGAGTAATGGGACTTGAACTCAGAGCCTACACGTTGAGCCTCTCCACCAGCCATTTTTTTGTGGTGGGTTTTTTGAGATAGGGTCTCACAAGCTATTTGCCCAGGCTGGCTTTGAACTGTGATTCTCCTGATCTCTGCCTCCTGAGCAGGTAGGATTATAGTTGTGAGTCACCAACGCCTGGTCCTAAATAGTTTATGAAGGCAAAATCTGTGCCTTCTACAATGCTGAATTCCTAGGATTAAGTATGGTATCCGACCCCTGTAGGCACTCATACTTGTTGAATGAGTAAGTGAACTGAACTAATGTAGCTTAAGCATCCCACTTTTGAACGCCCACATATGACAGGAAATAACCTGAATAAGATAAACAGGAAAAACAATGCCCACTCTATAGAGCACAGACCCTACCCAAGTCTAGCTGCATGCTGAAATTTATGTGTGAACCCTGGGTCACAGCTCCTTATACTTTAAAGAAAAGCAGGAATAGCAATTATTATGTAAAATGCCTTGCTTTTAAATACTGGCAACTAACCAACACTTGCCCAAAACAGTTTAAGAGCCAAAGTACTTGTGAACCAGAGTTGGCTCTGGGATGACTGGATTGTGATGTGTGGAGAGGTGCTAATCTTGGGCCTAACCCACAGTGCATAGCAGCTTACAGGGCAACACCCCACCCTCATTTCCACCCCTAACTCACCATACAGGCAGCTTGCACAGCTTCAGAGAGTCCCCCAGCATGGGGCTGGCACCAGAAGGCCGCACACTGGAAGCTCTGACGGCCAAGATCGACGATGAGGCCGAAGGTGTGTGGGTCATGGCCAACACCAATAAAGGTCACAAGGCGCACAGGGCATTGCCACAATGGTTCCTCCTCTGCACCAGCCTCTGCCTGACCACACCAGGCCTAATCACCAAAAAGCCAAGTACTAGCCAAACCCTCTAAACTCTTCCAGCAGCAAGCATGGATCCCCTCCCCAAAATCCCTCCTCACATTCCACAGCCCCCAGTTTCACCCTTTTCCAGTACCTGAATGGGATGTGCAGTCATGAGAGAGTCAGACACGCTGAGCATGGTGGGGACCCAGGTGTTCTGGTCCTCCCGGGTGGTGAGTGTACCAATGGCCTCATTCAGCACATCCATGCCTGGGGGGACATGCCCACTGTGGTGTCTAACTTGGAAAGAAAGGGTCTGCAGGGAGTATCTAGGCCCCTTTCACTGAGTTGGGATACAGAGAGATGTGAAGAGGATAGCTGGGACTGGGCTTAAAATTCTGAGTTGGGAAATCTGGTAAGTCTCAGGCTATGCAAGGCAAAGAGAGGACTCTGAGACATGGTGGTAGATCCTGCCCTGCCTACCTTCCCCTTGCTTTATGCAGCCTAGCCCATCCAGCCCCCTTCAGTCCTCACCCATAGCTTTGGTGACTGGCAGGGTCCCCATGTACAGCGCCTCATACTTCTGAGCAGCCTGGCTCACTGCATCCAGCAACTCCACTGAAATATACACACCAAGCTGGCAAGGGAACTCTCTCAAAAACCCCTTTTCCCACCCTTCTGAATGAGATAGAACCCAGGGCAGAGCTGTTGCTAATAGAAGAAAATCCATGGATGCTCTTCAGTTCAGGGCTTGTGGTCCCTAGGATCAGACACCTCAGAAATCTCACATCTCCAGAGAAGTGCTAAATACCCAGGAACTCCACCCCCTCCATGCTCCCATCTTTCATCAAAGCAGCCTAATGCTGCAATGCAGCAAGCCCCTCCCCATACCTTGCCTAGGAAGGTCTTCAGGAGAAATAGGGTCTGGGGAGCAGCAAGTGGCATCAGCACTGACCCCTACTCGCTCTGACAAGATCTAAAATACAACGCAGCCAGAATAAGCCACAGAGAAAGAAAGGTATTAGGGTAAGGGGCCAATACCAACCTACTCCAGCTACCTTGTAAGCTTCAGCTCCAGCTCCATACCCACATTTCCCTGCCCAACCCCTGGCCCTTACCTGGGCACAAAGCTCATGTAGGGCACTTGCAATTGCCTTGGCAGGAACATCACAGCGAAACACATGGCACTTGAGCATACAGCTGTCTTTGTCACCCGCCACAAAAGCAAAGTCCCTGGCAGAGGCAGAGAAGGAGCTAGGATATAGGCAGGGGCAGGGGCCTATAGTGCTTGCAAGAGGCTTTTAAAAATCAGGTTAGGGGTATGGCAGAGATGGAGTGGGGAGGTCAAAGCCAAGGCTCAGGGCACATAATTGTCACGTACCTGTCACTGTTCCAGAAGCATGTAGAAGCACAGGAGAGAATCAGCCCAGCCTCTCAGACTCTCCCCTATCTGTCCCTGCTGAGCTGGACCCACCCTCCCCAACCAGGGCTCAACCAGGGCTCAACCAGGCAGGGGAGGCAGTGCTGGGTCCATGTCAGAGGATCTGTGTCCAAGGGTTCAAGTACCAGGGATCAGCATCAGTGGGGATCATAGCCTGCGGGGGGAAGGAGAAGCAGCTCTCGCTTGGGGGGATGCAGAAGTCCTCACCGGCCCTTGGAGCTGCCCACGCCCCATACACGAATGTGCACCAGAGGTTGACAGTGGATCAGACTGTGGTCCAAGGGATTCACCAGGCTCATCGCATCCTTCTTCAGGATCATCAGCATGTTCTGGCCCTGCCAAGGATAGAAGTTAGCCTAGACATCAGATAAAGGTGGTTGCCATGGCAAATAGGCATTCAGGGAGAACTACTTCTGCTGAGCCATAGGCTAAACTCCTTGGGAAGCCAGTCAGCTCACCTCACCCCAAGCACTGTCTGGAGGCTGGTTCCGGTTGTGGGTCCGAGCCAGCTGCTGGATACAGTTATTGACTGCGATACTGCTTTTCCCTGGTGCCAGGTCCTCTTCAGGCACCTCTACCCAGCCCAGAGAGTGGACTGCAAAGCACTGAAAAGTTGGGGGAAGGGAAGGGAATGAGTAAGCGTGGAATACAGTGGCAAGGGGTCACAGGCTCCCCACATATAAACCCTCTGGTAGTCATACCCTTCATCCTTGGTCACCGCTACTAAGTCCAGTTCCACCCTGATCCCTTGGGATCTCCCAATGCCCTAGGCTGGCCCTCAGGTTCAAGTAATACCTTAGCCCCTGGCTCCAAATTCTGGATGTAGGATTCCTCACCATACCAGGTCAGAGAGTTACTAGAACAGAGCAGAGATGATAAAGACCAGTTGGGGGAGGGCGGAGGAGGGAGGTGACCAAACAATGCATACACATGTAAAACGATAAAATAATTAAAAAAAAAAAAAAGACTATACTCCCTATATTAGTTGCAGCAGTGATCAAGGCCAGTTGATTAGCTCATGGTGTAACACAAGACCCAGAATACAGCAACACAAATATAAAACCAGAACGGAGGACCCAGGATACATTAACATACAATGTGGTTTAAAATTTGAAGGGAAATTCAGAACACAAGATGAACACAGCACAGAATAAAAGTCATAAATATGGAGCAGCGTCCAAAATGTGGAGCAAAGCCCCAAACTGGAACAAGAGACCCTAGAACACAGCACGGAAGCTTCCATAGAACCTAAGGCAATGCACAAAATCTACATGATAGGTCAGAACAGAGAATGTGGAGAACACGTAGCTAATGACAAGAGCTTAGAACAAGGGACAAAATTCAAAACACTAAAAGTCAAGAACAAGAGAAAGAGCCAAGCACACAGAACAGAGCCCAAAAAAAAGGACAAGAGTCCAGAACCTGAGTTGGAAAACAGATTGTGGGTCCAGTACATTTTTTGACTGCCAGGGAAATCCCAAATCTTTCACTTTGCTTTAAAGGGCCATCCCTGTTACCTCCGGTCCAGTGAGCTCTCCAGGCTGGAAAAGGATCTTCCCTTTGGGGGCCGCAGTTCCCAAATCCCCTCCATCCCCTGTGTGTGAGGAGGGAAGGAGGTGTTGGTCATTGTAGCAGTAGGTCTAGGTCCACACCTGAATTGGGCCCCCTCCTCACATTCCACCTACCGTGCCTGTATCTTCTGCATCTCCTAGTTCCCAGGTTGGGCGCTGCCACTGGGTGCTACCGCTGGGTACATGCCAATAGTATGTACCTGCAGCATCGCGGATCTTCCTCCAGCCAGGGGGTAGGCCTGGCTCCCCCTCCAGACTTTGGTCCCCCCACAAGTCATCTATAGGAACAAGAGATTGAAGAGGGGGAGCATACTATTCGTGAGTTCAGAATAGCACCCTGTCCCCTGATCTTCATACCGAGACGTACTCCCACCCTGTCTTTGAGCCTCGGGGTAGCCTTCCCTCACTCCCTTGTTTCCCTTCAAGCTTGTGGTCCTCCCACCGGGAACCTCTGTGCACACCGTCGCAGTTGACCAGTATGATGGCCAGCATGTAATCCTTGCCCAGCATAGCCCGGCTGCGTCCCTGCCGGCCTCTGTCGGCCAGCACTCTCAGCCCAGCGCGACCTCTGGAGCTACAGCACCTACAAGCCCAGCTTCTGCGCCCTAGAACGCCAGGCCAACTGGCGCCGCACACAGGGCGGGACAGGGGCCGGCACGGGGGCGGGAAGAGGTGGGCCTGAGCAGCACCGCCCGCTGGGGGAGGGGGAGGTGTCGATCCCAGAGTTGGTGCGTATTTCCGTGCGTGGGTTCCAGGAGTCGCAACAATACCAGCAGACTCACAAACCCAACCCCACAACTATGAGTTCATCACACCGCGGAAGACCGGCTAGACGAACAGCAGCCGCGCGCACGCGCACGCAGATTAGCTCATCGCGACCGGGTCATAATCGCGCACACATGCAGCCTGGGACCTGACCGGAGAGGTCACGTGGCAGTATCTATACTAATTGGGCTAGGACTAGGCGAACAGGAAAACGCCCCACCTTTTCCCGAAATGCCCCGGAAGTGCCTCTGCCCTCAATAAAGATGGCTGCAGCACTTGGCATGAGGCGCGCGGAGCTGCGCCTGCGCAACAGGTTCAGCGGGGAAGATGGCGGATGACAAGGTGAGTGAATGTGATGGTGATTCTTAGTCGGGATGGTCTTCACACTCCTTGGCCTTTCTGGTTCTGGGGGAAGCTACACTGGAATATCTCAGGGGTTGGGAATGCCCCTTGTTTCCGCTGGGACCCCTGTGGATTACCTCAACAGTGAGAGATGGCATGAGGGGAGCTTTAGGCGAGGCGGGTGGAGCCAGGGATTCTCCAGATGTACCCTCTCGGGGATCAACCATCACGACGTCCAGTTCCTAGCACACATTCAAATACATCCACTCTGAAATTCTCGTCATTCTGGTCCTTTCCCTAACCCCCGAAATTTCCCTTTCAAAGACAGCGTTTCCAGTTCACCCGCATACCAACATTACCCTCATTCAAACACTTCCTTGCTCTCCCGTACTGAATTTCATACTTACTGCGTTCAGAATCAGTCACTTTTTCGCACTCTTGCCTACAGTCATTCCCTCATACATCTAGGCATTCCCATTCGGTTTGGGATGGCCTCGGGCATAAAGGGGACAAGCCAGCCCAGGCAGAAGTCAGGTTCACCCTCAAATTGTCCAAGGAGCCGCCTCAATCCATTACTGTTAGTCTGGAAGCCCAGCATCAACCCGCAACATTTACCAAGTACCTCCTGGTCCCTGGCACGGGGACACAAGCGTCAAGACAGACTGATGATTATTTTCATGGAGCGCATAGTTCTTCCCGCATAGAACTAATTGAAGGTTTCTCCCCTACACGCTGCTTGCCATATAAGATTGCTATAGCGGTTGTTAAAAGTAATTGATGCAGTTTACATCTGTCTCCTCCTCCCTGGCCCCCATATGAATTCTGTGCTTTTCAATGTGTTTCTTACTTTACTACTGCCATCTCAGGAAGGTTTTCTAGGAAGAGATTCCTCTGGCTCACTCCATTCCCCCCAACTCCAAGCCTCTGATAGAATTGAGTAGGGGATGGGACTAGGTCAAGTCTGCTGGAGCCAGCCTCTCCCTTGTCCTAGGATTCTCTGCCCAAGCTTAAGGACTTGGCATTTCTCAAGAACCAGTTGGAGCGTCTACAGCAGCGCGTGGAAGACGAAGTCAACAGTGGTGTGAGCCAGGTAGGGACTGCCCTCCTACCCTTTGCCTTAGGTTTCACTGCCAACTTGTCCTTGAGAATGTTGGCTAGGTGGTAGAGATTTATTTAGCAAATGGACATTGAGGGCCTGTTCTTAGTCACTCCAAGGGAAGTTTCCCTGAGAAAATAGCACTTGAACTGAGATTTTAAGTAGGTGTTAACTAGGTGAAGTGGGGAGGAGTGAACATTCCAGGCAGATGGAACAGCATGCACAAAGCCTTTGTGATGAGAAATAGTGTTATGAAATTGAGGGGAGAGAGGAAGTCAATTTGTCTGCAGCTAGAAAATGAGATTGGAGAAGAAGGCAGGGCTCAGGTTCCTCAGGGCCTCTCAGGCCTCTGATAGTAGGATTCTGTGGTTGGAGCCTTCTGAACTCAGGATTCTAATATTGTATGATCAGAACTCCTAAGCTTTCACTAGCTCCAGACCCTTGAGAAAATCTTTGGAGAAAATACCACAGTTGTCCACAGTGAGGAAGTGGTGGTAGAGGCTCCAAGACCAGCTTGAGTAGTTCCTGGGCAGAGAAGGAGAGCCTACCTGAGTTTCCTTCTGCATTTTTCTTTGCAGGATGGCTCACTCTTGTCCTCCCCATTCCTCAAGGGATTCCTGGCAGGCTATGTGGTAGCCAAACTGAGGGCATCAGCAGTACTGGGTTTTGCAGTGGGCACCTGCACCGGCATCTATGCAGCTCAGGCATATGCTGTGCCCAATGTGGAGAAGACACTGAGAGACTACTTTCGGTCACTACGAAAGGGGCCTGACTAGCTCTGGATCCCATGAGGGAAGCACGATGAACAGCAGGGGCCTGCAAGTGGAGGCCTTTCAATCACATTCTACCTGGTTCCCCCTGCTGTCATCCATTTGCTGTCTCCACCTGTTCTGCCACCTTCATCTTTGCTTTTCTTCCTGCAGAGGGTGGACAGTAGTGCCTCAGCTTGCATTGTGGACTCCTTTCCATTCTTTGCTCCATGGGACTGGCCCCAAGACTGTGGGTTACCAGCTCCTTCTTCCAACCTTAACTGGAGTGTGCAGCTAACTCTGATTCTCAGTATTCTCTCTGGTGATGCACCACAGCTCCTCCCTTCTGGGAGCTGGCTCTATAACTTGATTTCCCTCAAATGTGTCCCAATCCCTCTGCCCCTTGCTAACTACACAGGCCACCCAGGTTCTGGGGTGGGCCATGAGTGTTGAGGATGGGGGTATGCCAGGCCTGGGCCGTTCTAGGCAGGCCCGTTGGACACTGATGCTACTCCTGTCCACTGCCATGTATGGTGCCCATGCTCCATTGCTGGCACTGTGTCATGTGGACGGCCGAGTGCCCTTCCGTCCCTCCTCAGCTGTATTGCTCACTGAGCTGACCAAGCTACTGTTGTGCGCCTTCTCCCTCCTGGTAGGGTGGCAAGCATGGCCCCAGGGGTCCCCACCTTGGCGCCAGGCTGCTCCTTTTGCATTATCAGCTCTGCTCTATGGAGCCAACAACAACCTGGTGATCTATCTACAACGTTACATGGACCCTAGCACCTACCAGGTGCTGAGCAATCTCAAGATTGGAAGCACAGCCCTGTTCTACTGCCTCTTCCTCCGGCACCACCTCTCTGCACGTCAGGGGTTGGCATTACTGCTGCTGATGGTTGCCGGGGCCTGCTATGCAGCTGGTGGCCTTCAGGACCCTGGAAACACCCTTTCTGGGACCCATCCAGCAGCTGCTGCCAGCCCCATGCCCCTGCATATCACTCCACTGGGACTGCTGCTCCTCATCCTATACTGCCTCATCTCAGGCTTGTCATCTGTGTACACAGAGCTGCTTATGAAGCGACAGCGGCTGCCCCTGGCAATTCAGAACCTCTTCCTCTACACTTTTGGTGTCCTCCTGAACCTTGGTTTGCATGCAGGCAGTGGCCCAGGCCCAGGCTTCCTAGAGGGTTTCTCAGGATGGGCAGCACTTGTGGTACTGAGCCAGGCACTAAATGGACTGCTTATGTCAGCTGTCATGAAGCATGGCAGTAGCATCACACGTCTTTTCGTTGTGTCCTGTTCATTGGTGGTCAATGCTGTGCTTTCAGCAGCCCTACTACGGCTGCAGCTCACAGCCACCTTCTTCCTGGCCACACTGCTCATTGGTCTAGCTGTGCGCCTATACTATGGCAGCCATTAGCCCCTGACCACCTCCACTCCCGCTCCTGACCCTGTAGATTAGGTGCCGCCACCAGAGCCACCTCCTAGACCTTTTTCCCCTTTGGCCCAGCAGCCCTTTAACAAGTGCCTTGTGAGAAAAGCTGGGGAAGTGAGAACAGTCAGGTTGGACTCTGGAAGTGGATAGATGAAGGAGTAACTCTAGGAGACATGAAAAGTGGGTATGGTTAAGGAAACACCACCACCTACCCGACCCTTGTGTTCTTCCACACTAAGGAACTGGGAGCATCAATACCCATCCCTGATGGGGACAGCTCCCTGCCTCATCCTACATAAATATAGTTGTTTCAAGTGGGGTGTGGGTGACAGGTGGCTTTACTTCTCTGCTGTGGTCCCCACCCACCCAACCTACTGCCCCCAGGCCTGGTGCTGGCTGCTCCAGCCCAGCCTCCATGCATGACTTTCCTAAGTCATGCAGGAAGGCCCAATTACCACAAATCATATAACTACCCAAATGTCTGCCAAGCTCCCCCAGCTTTAGCAGTGCCTGGAAACATGTCCCCCGCCCCCTCCACAGCACTGCTTCCCATTCCCAGCCCTTGTTCTGGAAACCCCAGAGAGGACTGGGGGTTGACTTATCTCAGGGATTGTTGCCCCTGGGCCCTGGCTTAAGTCTATGCTCCTGATCCCTCTGCTTACCCAAGGGCCCTCTTGAAGTCTGATGCCACCTAAGGCTCTTAGGCGGTACCATCCTTCTCATTCTGGGTCCTGCCTGACCAGTAGTGTCCTAACTCCCAACAGCCTGGGGAAGCTCTGCACAGAGTGACCTAGAACCAGGTACAGAAAATGTCTATAGTTTAATCAGTGTCTTTAACTGTGGAAGCAATAAGGTCTTAATAAAGTGTAGGTGTAGGGTGCTTCCTACAACCAGTCACAATTGTCCTGTGTCTTATGTGTTGCACAGCTCACCTGTAAGTTTTATTTCCTAGTTTCCTGAGTATCTCATTCCAGAGTAACTTCTAGACCAAGAGAAAGAGTTGTTTCCTCCCAGCTGCTGGAAATGACATTACTTCCTTTGGGAGCTCCATGGAGCCGAGACTTTACTGTCAGCTTTTGAAATTTTTCTGAAGCATAAAACTTGAACCCTGGGGAAGCCAGAAAGTCTTGGGACTAGAAGGTACTTTGCAAAGTAGGACAAACTAGACTAGGCTAGAAAATGCTTAAGACCACTAATGTGGTTTTGATTTCTCATTTCCTCTGGTTCCCTCACTGATAATTCCTGTGGTCATCTGTCCTTTTAAACCTATTGAAGCAGAATCTTAGTGGGGTTTTTAAAATCCCTAGGGAAGAGCTGCCCATGTCGACTAGAACATGTGAGAAGTTGTCTACGCCTGCCCTGACCGCCTGGCAGCTTGCAGGGCCGAGGCAATGGCGTTCAGCAGGTGCGCAAAGGTCTCCACTGCGGCCACCTAAGCAAGAATCTCTGTGCACGGGAGTTGGAGGCCCTGCGGAGAGGCTTTACCTCCTTGGCCAAAAAGACCCTGATGGGAGGATCCTAGGAAGGACCTTGAGCTCTGGTCCTCACATCAACACTGCACATGGGCACAAACACCTCATATTGAGGGGACACATGAAGTGCTCTTGAGTGGGGAAGTTCTCGGATGTTTTAGTATGTCTCTTTCCAGCAGGGTGAACTTGGGCAGAGCAGGGATTTATTTCCCAGCATTTTATATGTAAGGATCTGGGTTAGAGTAAGATGTAACTGAGCCATCAATGAAGACTATTAAACATTTAAAAAAAAAAAAAGCTCCCTAAGTAATTTTGATGCACACTAAAGTTTGTGACCCACTTCTTTGTGTGGTATTACCTGTGGCCAGGGTCAAATTTGAATTCTGCCTCTGCTACTTAGCTGTCTTTGGACACTTACTTAACCTCTCCTGCCTTCAGTTGCCTTATCTCTGAAATGAGGATCAGATGGTACCTACAGTATAGAGCAGCTGAAAATGCAACATGAAATGAAAGCTGTTAGGCATTTATCAGGGACTGGCACAATGAGACATGATTATTTGGTTAGTGGTGGTGGTAATTATCTAGAATGAGGGTCTGCATCTTCCTCTCCCTTCAAGGGCCTTCAAGAGTGAGGAAGAAGGAAACCACCCCGTAAGGTTCCTGATCAGGGTTCTCCCCAGGATGGGAATGCAACTTGACTGCCTCAGCCTCATGTGCATCCTGCTGAAGCTGCTGAGTCTGGGCTTGGAGCTCCTGGTTCTTCAAAGCCAGATCAATAGTATCTTGCAGGACAGCTGCCAGCAAGCTGCGATGACAGTGCTCTGTGGTCATGGCCTGCTCCTCCCATAATCCCTGCCAAGCTCAGAATACCTGTGCCCAGATTCAGAGATGGCTTTTGGTTATACAGCCTTGGCTGCAGCCCAAGGCCTGCCCTCTGTCCCCACTGACCTGCAGTATATGGCATGTCCGAGCTTGGGTGGCCTGCACATGCAGGTCATAGAGGGCTGCTAGGTCCTGTTCTGCAATGTCCCACTCTGCCTGCAGGGCCTCCACCTGGAGTCTCAGCACTGTTTGCTCCCAGTGCCATCTCTTGTTCTCAGAGGCCTTTAGAGAAAATTAGTGCCCTTTGGTGAGTGCTGCTGCATACCAGGCTCTGTGCTAAACACTAAGTATATTAATCTCGTTTTATTCAGTAACAAATTTACAGGAAAGTCACCATTTTACAGTTTTGAAAACTAGGATCAGTGAATGATCTAACTTGCCCCAATTCCCATGGCTAGGGAGAGTCAGAGACAAGCTGCAGTGCTTTTCAACAGTTCCTTATCCTTGAAGTGAATCCAAACCCTGAGATGTGGCACACTGTCTCTTTAGCCTTGCTTCTCATTACATACTTGCCAAGCTCCAGGCAAAAAGGACAATTTGTGGTTCTGAAAGCCCATTTTGCCATTCCTTTCCTTAGAACTTTGCTCACACACTTCTCTGAGAACTTGCCCTCAACCCATCTCCTCCGCCTACCCCCGCCACCCATATACAAATTTTTACACTTATACAATTAGGTTTTCTGAGTGCCCCAGTGATGAGCACGGCTGTCCTAGTGGAGCCGAGTCTAGTGAATTCCCCTGGCTGATTTCTGTTTGTCCTCTGAGCCTCAGCTTAGATGCCATTTCCTTTTACCCACTCCATCCTGGGTGAAGTGTACCTCTTTGGTCCACCAGCCCCTACCTCCCCCATCACAGCACTCAGCTCCATGTATTGCCTTCTTTATCCCCACAGGGTTAAGAGGGCCATGCAAGAGTAAGAACCAGTCAGTTATGATTGGTGTTGGACCCTGGCCCTCAGCACAATGCCTGGCCCAATTACAAGGAGCCTCAAGCACCCCTACTTGACCCTCCTCACCTTCTCTTCAGCCATCAGGCCATTGACCTGTTCACCTCCCACCTCCTGTTCCAAACGCTTCAGCTCCTCTTGAATCCAAATTTGGTGCTGGTCTTGCAGTCTCTGCCTCTGGGCATGGGCCAGAAAGAACTGCAGGGCCACATCTGGGACCTGCTGGGCCTAGATGATGTCAATGGAGGCTTAGCCATGTGTGCACACAGTTTTGGAGCACAGTGCCCAACCTCTCCAACAAAACTTTATTTCCAGTCTGCTCTCAGGACCTAAGTGGCCTAGAAGAGCCTGTATCCTGGGCAAAGACTCAGGAGGCTGTGGGTGGAGGAAGAAAGCTCTGGCTCTGCCAATAGGTTCCATAGTAGCCCTAAGGAACCCACACTCCCATCCAAGCCAATAGGAAAACAGCACCTCCCTATGCTCCTCCCCTAAGGAATCCAGTAACCCTTCAGGTCATAAACTACATAATCTGACCTCCTGACAGAGCAGGGTAAGCAGGAGGCAGATTATCTACACTCTGGGACCACTCACTTCTCCCACAGTTTCTGGTAGTTCCTGAGGTGCATGAGGTATTACCTGTCCTTAGAGTCTCTGAGACAATGCTTTTGGTGGAGCCCAGGCCCTAGAGATGCTGCTCTTCCTGTTACTAGAGGAAAATGTGATTAATCACACCAAAAGTGGGGACACACGCATGCACACACACACACCCCCTAGCTAACCCTCAAGTCCCAGATGCACCTTGGGACTCCCCTTTGAGGCTTGGGCTGTGGCTTACTGCTGAATCTATCACCTGCTGAGAAAATATTAGGAGTGACAATTCACATCCACCATTCCTGCCAGGACAGTGTAAGTTTAGTTCAGAACTTTGAAATCAAACTGGTCAGGGGCCCAGTCTCTCTTAGGTGTATGAGTGACGAGCTTTTTGAGGCTCCACATTCTTCATAAAATAGAGCTGATAAAAGTTGGAGAGAGAATGAATGACATAGTGCACCTGAAGCACTTGGCATTCAGGTAGTTGCTCAGTAACTCAGAACTAATATGACTAGCTCCCCAGGCCCATGGCTGTAAATACAGGTCCTATGTATGCAATTATGAAGAGGGAACCGAAGGACCAGGAAACACCCTGCAGCAAGTCATGGAAGACAGCGCCCCCTTCTGCACAAGAAAGGGCCATGCATAAGGAGATGAAAGAGCATTACACTTCAGATTAGGAGTGCAAGGATTTGAGTGTGATTGCACCTCTGTGACCTCTGATTGTGCTGGCAACTCTGGGCTACTCACATCTCTTCTCTGAGTCTTAGTTTTCTCACCTGACAATTGGGAGCCATGTTGTCTTCCTTGCTTACAATACTTCTGTGGGTTGCAAAGTTTGACCTTCAAGAGAGTCCAAGCATTTCAATAGATGTACAAGGCTCTGTGTGATTTGGCCCCTGCTTCCCTCTCTAGTCTTCTTCTGACTCTCTTCCTCAGCCTCTGTTCAGCAGGCTGGGCTGCTTGCAGTTCCTCAGAGACATCAAGCACTTGCTTATCTCTGAGTCTCTTCCATGAAGTCTTCATTCCCTCTCTTGCCAAACTAACTTGGATGCCCCATAGCACTGCAAATTTATAAGCCTTTCAGAGCACGGATCATGGTGTAGTTCTTCCCAGTAGATCATAAACTCAAACATGGAGAATTCCCAGGGCTGACATGGCTGTGCCCAACACATAGTAAATGGTAAATAAATGCTTGGGGGTCAATAAATCAATAGAGTGCTCTGTAAACAAGAGGAAGGCAGAAATAAGACAATACCTGTGGTTTTGGGAGCCCCATGGTCTCAGCTTTAGTCCCTTTGGGTATCTGGCTTCTTGGGCACTGTTTCCAGACTTTTATCACCTAGGGAGAAAAGGTTCAGAGTGGGTACTGGACATTGCTTGCCCAGGCTCCCAGGCCTCACCTTGCTCACCTGTAGCTCCCGAAGTGCCCTGCCTAGTTGGTTAAGCCCACTATCTGTCAAGGTGTCTCCAAGGAGGCCTAAATGCAGGATCTTCAGGCTAGCCCTCCGAGCTTGAGCCTCTTCTATTGCATCCCAGAGGGTAGGCCTCACTTGTTTCACCTGCATTCTCCTTCCTGAGGCCCCCATCAGAGCAGCCTGGAGCAAACTCAGGGAGCTACCTGGTAAGGGGAGACTCAGAGTAATTATTCCTTCCTGAGAACTCCAGATCACAGTACTTGTAGTGTGTGTGTGTGTGTGTGTGTGTATTGAACTCAGGGCCTCATGCTTGCTAGGCAGGCATTCTACCACTTGAGCCACTCCACCAGCCCCTTTTTGCAATGGGTATTTTCAAGATAGAGTCTCACAAACTATTTGCCTGGACTGGCTTTGAGCTGCGATCGTCCTAATCTCTGCCTCCTGAGTGGCTATGACTCCAGACATGAGCCACTGGTACCCAGCCCCCACAGAACCTGTAATACTTTAAATTTCTATCAATAGTACTACTTAACAAAAAGATCTAACCCCCATTAGACTTTCACATGTGCTTGATGGCACTATGCTAAGACTATTCCTGGGTTACCTCTTTTTATCCACAGCAACTCTATTGGGTCCTGCCTCCCCACATTTCCCAGATGAGGCAACTGAAGCACAGAGAAGTCAAGCAACTTCCTGATGAGTGGCAGAGCTGAAACTCAAACCCAGCTCTGTCTGACACTTAATCATGATACCAAACTGGTCCATAGATAAACACATCTACCCTTCACTGCTTTATCCTTGATGGTATGAACTACCTTCAATTTCTCTTCCTAATCCCACAGAGCCTGCCACACAAGGAGGTATGAAATCCTATTAGCCAAATGAATGTGTCTGTAGATTTTGGAGATAATCAGAGAGCCAAACTGTTTTTTTAACTTTTTTTTTTTTTGGTGGGACTGGGATTTGAACTCTGGGCTTCACACTTGCAAAGCAGGCACTCTACCACTTGATCCATACCTCCAGTCCATTTTGTTCTGGTTATTTTGGAGATGGTTCTCCAGAACTATTGGCATGGTCTGGCCTTGAATTACAGTCCTCCTGACCTCAGTCTCCAAAGTAGCTGGATTACAGGTATGAGTCATCAGTGCCAAGCTAAAAATCCTTTTTAAGGAAAATTTCAAACATATATGAAGTAGAGGAAGTCCATTTACTTAATACCCAGCTTCAACTCTGTCAACTCATGGCTGGTTTTTTTTTTCCTTATTTGTTTTGTTGTTGTTGTTTGTTTTAGGTGCTGGGGATCAAACCAGTGGCCTTGTACATGCTAAGCAAGTGCTCTGCCACTGAACTACAGACAAGTCCTTGTTTTTTCTGAGTCCCCTGGCCCACATCCCTTGATTTTTTGGAGACCATGGTCTTGTTCTATACTCCAGCCTGACCTAAAACATGCAATCCTCCTGCTTCAGCCTCCCCAGTGCAGGAATTACAGGTATGTGCCATCACACCTGGCTTCATAGCCATTCTTCTTAGGTCTGTAAACCCCACTCTGACCTTCCCCCAAAAACCTGACATCATGTCATTTCAGAGGCCAGATTTTTAGTAAGTATGTGAAAATTGCTAAGTCCTTTTTCCTCTCCAATCCTCTTTCCTTATTTATGAATTATGCCTGCCTCTCTTTCCTCATTTGTAAATTAGGTCTGCCTCATATTAACAGGCAAAAGATAAGAATTGAAGGTATGAAAATGCTTTGTAAGAAGCTGAGTGTGGTGGTACATGCCTGTAATCTCACCCATGTGGAGGCTAAAGGAGGAGGATCATGAGTTCAAGGGCAACCTGGACTACATAGTGAGACCCTATCTTTAAAAAAGGAAAAAAAAAAAAAGAAGAAGAAGAAGAAGAAGAAAAAGTCTTAGTAAACTTGTTGAAGACCTTGAAGAGTAAGGCATTGGGGTTGCTTTTACTATTGACTTTGCCCTTACCCCTCCAGACTGACATCATAAGCACAAAGGAATTTTGCTGTGCTGAATGCTAGCCTTTTCTCTCTCTCTCTCTCTCTCTCTCTCTCTCTCTCCTAGGGTTGGGGATGGGCTGGTTGGGTGACAGGATAGGGCAAGCCTAAACCAGATCCCAGAACTTTCCAAAGAACTTCACACCCACCCCCAGTTACCTTGGGGATTCAGGCGAAGAAGTAGTCTACTGTAGTTGTTTCCATCCAAGAGCCAGGAGACAATCCAGTGTAGTGAGCCCTCCAGCTCCTTACCAGCAACCTCACCAGCCAATGCCCGCAGCAGGGGGCAGTCCCTGCAAGAGGGAGGGAAGAGAAAGAAGTTATCCACTGGTGGATGGGCAAAGAAACCAGACAGAATCACATTCTGATGAAAAATTTAACTATTTCTAGCAACTTTCATGTACCACCAGACAGATTGGCACTCTTTTTTCATTTTTGTTTTTGTTTTGGCAGTACTGGAGTTTGAACTCATGCTTTGTGCTTGCTATGCAGCTGTTCTACCTCTTGAGCCACACCTCTAGCTGTTTTTTTGTTTTGTTTTGGTTTTGGTTTTTTTGTCTTTCCCTTTTGGTACTGGCAATCCAAAGAGCCTTGCACATGCTGGGCAAACACATGAACACTTTACCACTGAGCTACATCCCCAGTCCCAGATTTGCAATTTTTTTATAGATCTTTATTTTATTTTTAATTACAGAAGACATTCTATGATACAAAACTATATACCTCACAGTGGACTTGCAACTCTTACAAGTCAACAATAAAAAGACAAATGATTTAATTTAAAAATAGGCAGAGAAATGTTAAGGCTGGCTAGAAGAAGGAAAAGTTTGGGACTCATGCATATGTGGGCTACCCACGTCTGGCTCACGGAAGGCTCAGACCACTGTCACCTGGCTGGGAACCACCCATGCCCCTCCCCACGCAATGATTATTGATGGGAATCACCTGGTTTCTCCCTTCCCATAGATTAGTGTAACTTTTAAAAGTACCTAAGAAAGAGAAGCTTGCTCTCTTGGCCTCCAGATTCCACTGGTGCCCCACTATGCTCTCCTTTGTATTTTCCTTTCCTAACTTTTAATAAACTCCGTTTACACCCATGTGTCCTGCCACAGATTCTTCCCAAGGGACACAAAGAATTTGCTAGTCTAGTCGTGGACTGAACCGGCGCCGTTAACAAGATGACATCAGTGAAAATGATAGAGTAGAGAACTCTGTGTCCACCCAACTCCAGAGACACCTGGCAAAAAACTGTAAGAGTCAACTTTACTGGAATCCTGAGACTAGTCAAAGGTTTACAGCAAAAAAGTGAATGCTTAACCAAGAGAAAAGCAACTTGAATTTGGTAAGAGAACTTACTCCTCCCTAACACAGAGGTAGTATTGGAGATGGCAACCCACATTTCTGATGGGGGTTCCAGATTCTGGAGAGAGCAAAGTAGATTTTGTTATCAAGGAATTATGTTCATCTTTTTTGATTGTCTAAGGTTCCCCCAATGAATGATTAAAGGTGCTTCTTTTGCTTCACCTATCTCAAAACTGTCTCAGAGCAGACTGGCTACCGATAGGATGTTCCCTGAAAGACAAAAGCACAAGACACAGCTGCCTGGAACAAAAATAACAGTTGAGGCAAATAATGAACACACAGAAAGACTAGAAGGAAAAGGTGAGGAGTGAGGTTTTGGGGGAATAAAGTCTTTGCAAAGTTACTATGTTCACTGAATAACCAAGAAAACACACTCAGGGCAGTACACATGTTTCAGAAAAGCCCCAGGAAGACCATAAGCTTTCACAAATGATTGAGTTTTAGGATCAGCACAAACAGGAAGTGAAAGATAGGAAGAACTGTAAATGGCCTGGCTAAGCATAAAGGGGGTGTCTTAATACACAGCAAATTTTCAGAGACACAGAGAATTAATTTTTTCTTTTTCTTCTTCCTTTCATACTATTATTGTTGTTGCTGTTGTTTTCTTCTTACTGCTTTTTTTTTTTTTTTTTTTTTTAATGTTTTTGTCCCCAGTATTTAAGGAATTCTGTGTCAGGTTACAGGCTAACCAATAAGGTAACAGAATAGAGTCTTCAGTGGTCACAAAGAATACAGACTTTTTGGCTGGGCGTGGTGGAACAAGCCCAGTTGTTTTGGTTGGTTGGTTGTGGTTTTTGAATAGGATTTCATTACATTGTCCACGCTGTGTTCAACTTTAAGGTCAAGTGATCCTCTTGCCTCAGCCTCCTGAGTAGCTTGCAAAATCGATCCGTAAAGAAGCAACAAGCACTTCTTACAGACTGTCCTCCTATCCCAAGACTGCCTGCTTGTCATTGCCATCCTTATCTATAGCCAATGTAGATTCAATTAAGTGATTTATTCTTTCTTCTTCCCAAAGTGAACATTTTTCCATCTGCTATCGCCCCATGCTGTTGGTGGCTTAGGGAATTTGTCCTAGGACTGGTCCTTCTATTTTTAGCTAGCATCTCTGACAGCCCCACAAACCCTTTTAGGTTCAGAGATCTCTTGATCTCTAAGTTTTTATTTAACATTAGATGTGGTGACCAATGCTCAACTTTGTAAATATACTAAAAGCCACTGAATTATACATTTTAAGAGAGTGAGATTTTTTTATTTTGTTGGGGTTTTTTTAGGGAGTGGTACTTGGGTTTGAAGGCTTTTTTTTTTTTTAAGAGACTTACACAGAGTGGCTCAAGCTGTAAGAGCACCTGCTTAGCAAGTGTGAGGCCCTGAGTTCAAACCCCAGTGCTACCAAAATAAATAAATAAATACAAAGAACCTCATACACATGCTCATTTTGGAACATCTATACTAAAATTGTGACTATAAGAAAAGAATCTTACACAATAAAAGGAAGACTTTAGAATAGTCTGGAATTTAGTGTACTTTTCCCCTTCTATTTTTTTTTAGGCATTTCATGAATGTTTCTATAACATTCAAAATTTTGCCATGTCACTTGAAATGATTATTTCCCTATTACCACTTGATGTTTTCATTATCTTTGAGCAGTAAGGGAAAAGTATAAGATAGAGCATGAAGACATGATTATTTGAGAATTTTCCAGTCTTCCTTTTGGACATTTAGGTGCTTTCCAAGTTTACAGTCTCGTAGATCAAAAGAAATATACATGGCTGAAAATGGGTTAGAAATGTGAAAAATAGTAGTAGAAAAATAAAAATTCTGAAAAATCAGACCAAAAATGCTTGAAGACACTGTTTGCAAAACTTTCTTCTGGTACCCTTATGAACACATGAATAAACAGTGGCTGGAAAGATCTACATTTATTTAAAGATTCCACAGATTCTCTACCCATTTGCCTTTGTCCCCATTATTTGCTAACAAAGAGCCTGGGTTCTCTTACTGTCAGAGCTGAGGGAAGGAGGAGAGACTTTGATACCTTCCTAGGCCTCACATCCATATTTTGGTCCCTGCATTACCTTCCAATGCAATCAGAATGCCCCTAAAGACTTACTGGTCTCCTGGGAGCTGCAAGATCCTCAGGGTACCTCGCCACATGTGCTGGGTCCCAGGCCTCTCAGGAGGGTCAGGCCCAGGCCAGGTCACTGTGAGAGTAAGCAGAGAGCAGGCCCTGCAGAGGAGAGGAAAGACTCAGGCCAAAAGTGTAGAGGGTGAAGGGAGATCGGTGCCCTCCTGTCCTCACCTGCCTTCACCCCCTGCAGCCTGCAAGTACAGCTCTGAGGCAGCTCTTGAGTCAGACACCTCAACTGCACTGGCACCTCCCACCACCCTAGAGGAAGAGGAAGTTGAGCTCAGCTCCTAAGCACCAGGGCTGTCTACACAGACCCCCAGCACTTCTGCGTAGAAAGCCTATAAAAACATCTATAGGCTCCAGGCTCAGTACACCTCCCTAAACAATTCTCATCTCCATGATCTCATTTTTCCTCCTGAGGTCTGCCCAGCCAGAGAAACAGGATAGTCAGAATAGCCTCCATTTCACAGATGGGCAAACTAAAGTCCTGCTTAGTCAATGTGATACTGGACTAAATTGGGACCTAAAGGTGGGAATAGAATTGAAAAGGAATAATTGGGGTAAAGGAAGAAAGAGGTATGGGATATGGGATGAAGGGAGGTGGATGGGAAGGATCCGGGAAGAAGATCCAGCCCTGAAAGCATGATTTCAAGCTCAGAGCTTCCTCCTCCTGGAGTGGCAGTGATTAGAAGTCTCCAAGGAGTTGGCTTGAAGATGTCAGCCCTGCCTTAAGGCAAGCATTCTCATACCCCATTGGGCCCTGAACACTCACAAGCCCAGAGGGGCTACATCCAGTACTGACAGATCCTCCAGTTCTGGGGAGAGCAGGTCCTGGCTCTTCCCAGTAGGCTTGACCTGGGATTACAGAAGCACATTTGTTACAAGCTGACCTTCCCCTCCTGTGGGGCCTGTGGACTAAGTAGCGTGCAGGAATTTAGCCATTCACAGTCAGGGTAAAGGAGACCTCAGAGAAGCAAGCCCAAGCTCTTCCAGCTCCCCCACAAGCCTGAGGCTCTTTCTGCAGTGTCAGTTGGCCCTGAATCCCCAGGTGTCCCACCTCCAAGAGTCTTACCTGCACCAAGCTAAGAGTACTAAGTACATGCTCAGAGTGGCAGAGGGGCAGAGCTTTCTCGAACAGCATCTGCAGCAGCTATGTAGACAAAGGAGTTCAGTGGGAACTAAGAAACTATCAGTCTGCCCTTCAGCATTTCCTGAGGGCCAAGTCTGGGCCAGATCCTGTGCTGGGTGCTGGGGACATGGTGTTCAGAACAGTAGTGCCAGCTCTCATGTTCACAACAAACCAGAAAAACAAGCAGACATTTTCAGTGGGACCTGCTGTTGGCTGGGCAGCAGCCATGACAAGGTTCTTTTTTTTTTTTTTTCCTTTTTCTTTTATTATTCATATGTGCATACAAGGCTTGGTTCATTTCTCCCCCCTGCCCCCACCCCCTCCCTTACCACCCACTCCGCCCCCTCCCTCCCCCCCCCAATACCCAGCAGAAACTATTTTGCCCTTATCTCTAATTTTGTTGTAGAGAGAGTATAAGCAATAATAGGAAGGAACAAGGGGTTTTGCTGGTTGAGATAAGGATAGCTATACAGGGCATTGACTCACATTGATTTCCTATGCGTGGGTGTTACCTTCTAGGTTAATTCTTTTTGATCTAACCTTTTCTCTAGTACCTGTTCCCCTTTTCCTATTGGCCTCAGTTGCTTTTAAGGTATCTGCTTTAGTTTCTCTGCGTTGAGGGCAACAAATGCTAGCTAATTTTTTAGGTGTCTTACCTATCCTCACCCCTCCCTTGTGTGCTCTCACTTTTATCATGTGCTCATAGTCCAATTCCCTTGTTGTGTTTACCCTTGATCTAATGTCCACATATGAGGGAGAACATATGATTTTTGGTCTTTTGGGCCAGGCTAACCTCACTCAGAATGATGTTCTCCAATTCCATCCATTTACCAGCGAATGATAACATTTCGTTCTTCTTCATGGCTGCATAGAATTCCATTGTGTATAGATACCACATTTTCTTAATCCATTTGTCAGTGGTGGGGCATCTTGGCTGTTTCCATAACTTGGCTATTGTGAATAGTGCCACAATAAACATGGGTGTGCGGGTGCCTCTGGAGTAACAGTCTTTTGGGTATATCCCCAAGAGTGATATTACTGGATCAAATGGTAGATTGATGTCTAGCTTTTTAAGTAGCCTCCAGATTTTTTTCCAGAGTGGTTGTACTAGTCTACATTCCCACCAACAGTGTAAGAGGGTTCCTTTTTCCCCACATCCTCGCCAACACCTGTTGTTGGTGGTGTTGCTGATGATGGCTATTCTAACGGGTGAGGTGGAATCTTAGTGGTTTTAATTTGCATTTCCTTTATTGCTAGAGATGGTGAGCATTTTTTCATGTGTTTTCTGGCCATTTGAATTTCTTCTTTTGAGAAAGTTCTGTTTAGTTCACTTGCATGGCAAGGTTCTGAGGCACCTATTTTGATTTTGGGGGTATTGATGAAGCCCCTACAGCAAAGCCTTCAAGTTAAGTATCATTATTAGTATCACCAAGAAGTGTGAAAACTAGACCTCCTGGATAATTGATCTTTGCATGCCACCCCTTCCAGACTCATCCCATCAGCCCAGCCTCCATCCTCTCCTGACCTCTCAACAGCTGCATGAACTGACCCTAGAAGTGTCTTGAATGGAAGGACACCTAGTCTAGCTGGGGTGGGCAGAGATTCCCCAAAGTATCCTGGAGGAAGTGATGCCCTAGCCTCATGAGGCCTGTACCCTGGTGGCTCCTTACCTGAGACACAGCCGAGGTGCCTCTGTTTCCCGACCCTGGAGCAACAGGGCTACACTGTACCCTCAGCCCACAGAGGCCAGTGTGGACTGGACTCTAGCCAAAAGCTCCTGCTCGGCCTCCTACAGGGAGACACAGGCACATTTCTCTGTTTCAGGTGACCTATTAAGGCCTTCCCTGAGCAAAAGGGTTAGGGACAAGGACCCTGGGATCTAGGAGCCCAAGGGCTCCCATCCTCCTCCCGTCACCTTCTCAGACACCCCTACCTGAGCAGTGTCTGGGCCCAGGACTCTGTCAAAGGTGAAACGTTGTTCCTGTGGGTAGGGCTGGGGTCAGTATTGTCATTCCCACCTTCTCCGTTCCTACCTACCCTACTCCATCTACCTGAGTCTCCAGAGTCTCCTGAGTCCCCGGCGGAAGCAGACGAAGGCTCTTGGGTCCTTCTACAAGAAGTGTAGGGCTCTGGGTCTCCTGGGAGCCTGAGAAAGGTAGACTTCATGTCAACTCTCATGAGGGAAACTGAGCTCCAGGATTCCTAAGTCCTGTCCTAAGCCTGTGCCTCAGTTTCTCAACCTGAAGTGGTTTAGCCTTACCTCTCCCGCAAGGCAATCCTGGCCACCCTCCCTTGGGGCTTCTTACCTGATCCCCTCCTCTGCTGCACTTCTACCACCACGGTCAGCATGGCAAGTGGGTTGAGAGATACAGTGTGCGAAGAGATCTCGGGGGGACAGAGCTGCCTGGCCTGCACCAGCCTCTCTAGACTCTGTGGATTCTAAGCCTCTCAGATTCCTCTCAATAATTCATGTCCTTCATCTGAGAGCATAGGGGTAAGGTTCAGGTGATGCTGGACAGGTAGTCATCAAAGGAAGTGACACTCCCCTTCTGAGAAAACATTTCCTGAGTTTTTTTTTTTTTTTTAGTTTAGTTTGTGTGTGTGTGTGTGTGTGTGTGTGTGTGTGTGGTTGTAGGACTGGAGTTTGAAACAGGGCTTCACACTTGCCAAAGCAGGTGCTGTACTGCTTGACCCACACCTCCAGTCCATTTTGCTCTGGTTATTTTGGACATGGGATCTCATGAACTATTAGCCCAGGCTGTCCTCAAACCGTGATCGTACTGATCTCAGCCTCCAAAGTAGCTAGGATTACAGGCTTGAGCCACCAGTGCCCAGTGTTCGAGTTTCCTTTCTTTAGTTTTTCTTTTATGAAAACTTTCAAATGTGTATAACAACAGAGAAAATAGTATAATGAATCTCCAGGTGCCTATCTTCTGTAGTTACCAACTTCTGGGTAGTCTTAAATCTTCTGTTCCCCTATTATTTTGAAGCAATTCCCAAACCTCATAAACCTCATATAGTTTCAAAACTATTTCAGTATGTGTTTGTAAAAAGTAACCATTACTTATTTTAATAACAGCTTTTTGAGATATAATTCATATACCATCCAATTTGCCCTTTTTTTTTTTTGTACCTTAAGGTCAAGCCTAATATGTGCTTGCTAGGCTGGTGCTCTACCACTTAAGTCCTTTTAACTTTTATTATTTATAAGATAGGGTTTCATGTTTTTGCCAGGCAGACCTGGACTATGATCATTCTATTTACACTTTCCGTGTAGCTAGGATGACAGGCATCTGCCAACACGCCCAGCTGGCTTGAGCTGTGATCCTCCTGATCACTGCTGCTGGAGTAGCTAGGATAACAGCTGTGATCCACTGCACTTGAACTACCTTTTTTTTTTTTGAGATAGGCTCTTGATGTGTACCCCAGGCCAGCTTCAAACTCATGATCGTTCCTCGGCCTCCAGGGTGTTGGGAACTGGTGGTAGTCTTAACCTCTATGCAGACTGAAAGCACACACTGCCAACTCAAATGGGCTGAAGGCACAATCTACCCTATCACACCCTAAGGAATTCTGATACAAAAGTTTAAAGATAGACTTACAGTTTCTTGTTTAGGAATTATCCCTGCTTCTCACAACTTCAGATTCATCTCTGGTCCTGGATCCTCTTCATCAGGTGGGAAAAAAGGAAAGTTGGGGTGATATAGGGTAAAATCATATCATCATCCAACATTCTCTTTCACCCCATCAGAAAAGTGGAAGAATCTATCCAGTGTGAACTCTCCCTTGGCCACCCCGCCCCCATGTTGAGTGTGGATACCCTCATGAAAGCATGTAATCAAGATACCTCCAAAAAGGAGAACTATAGGCCAATCTCCTTTATGAACATTGATGCAAAAATCCTCAACAAAATAATGGCAAACCGAATTCAATAACACATCAAAAAGATTATTCACCACGACCAAGTAGGCTTCATCCCAGGGATGCAGGGGTGGTTCAACATACGAAAATCAATAAACGTAGTAAACCACATTAACAGAATCAAAGACAAAAACCACTTGATCATCTCAATAGATGCAGAAAAAGCCTTTGATAAGATCCAACATCATTTCATGATAAAAGCTCTAAGAAAACTAGGAATAGAAGGAAAGTTCCTCAACATTATAAAAGCTATATATGACAAACCTACAGCCAGCATTATACTTAATGGAGAAAAATTAAAACCATTCCCTCTAAAATCAGGAATGAGACAAGGATGCCCACTATCTCCACTCCTATTCAACATAGTACTGGAATTCCTAGCCAGAGCAATTAGGCAAGAAGAAGGAATAAAAGGAATACAAATAGGTAAAGAAACTGTCAAAATATCCCTATTTGCAGACGACATGATCCTATACCTTAAAGACCCAAAAAACTCTACTCAGAAGCTTCTAGACATCATCAATAGCTATAGCAAGGTAGCAGGATATAAAATCAACATAGAAAAATCATTAGCATTTCTATACACTAACAATGAGCAAACGGAAAAAGAATGTATGAAAACAATTCCATTTACAATAGCCTCAAAAAAAATCAAATACCTAGGTGTAAACCTAACAAAAGATGTGAAAGACCTCTACAAGGAAAACTATACACTTCTGAAGAAAGAGATTGAGGAAGACTATAGAAAGTGGAGAGATCTCCCATGCTCATGGATTGGTAGAATCAACATAGTAAAAATGTCGATACTCCCAAAGTAATCTACATGTTTAATGCAATTCCCATCAAAATTCCAATGACATTCATTAAAGAGATTGAAAAATCTACTGTTAAATTTATATGGAAACACAAGAGGCCACGAATAGCCAAGGCAATACTCAGTCAAAAGAACAATGCAGGAGGTATCACAATACCTGACTTCAAACTATATTACAAAGCAATAACAATAAAAACAGCATGGTACTGGCACAAAAACAGACATGAAGACCAGTGGAACAGAATAGAGGATCCAGATATGAAGCCACACAACTATAACAACTTATCTTTGACAAAGGAGCTAAAAATATACGATGGAGAAATAGCAGCCTCTTCAACAAAAACTGCTGGGAAAACTGGTTAGCAGTCTGCAAAAAACTGAAACTAGATCCATGTATATCACCCTATACCAAGATTAACTCAAAATGGATCAAGGATCTTAATATCAGACCCCAAACTCTAAGTTGATACAGAAAGAGTAGGAAATACTCTGGAGTTAGTAGGTATAGGTAAGAACTTTCTCAATGAAACCCCAGCAGCACAGCAACTAAGAGATAGCATAGATAAATGGGACCTCATAAAACTAAAAAGCTTCTGTTCATCAAAAGAAATGGTCTCTAAACTGAAGAGAACACCCACAGAGTGGGAGAAAATATTTGCCAACTATACATCAGACAAAGGACTGATAACCAGAATATACAGGGAACTTAAAAAACTAAATTCTCCCAAAACTAATGAACCAATAAAGAAATGGGCAGTGAACTAAACAGAACTTTCTCAAAAGAAGAAATTCAAATGGCCAAAAACACATGAAAAAATGCTCACCATCTCTAGCAATAAAGGAAATGCAAATTAAAACCACACTAAGATTCCACCTCACCCCTGTTAGAATAGCCATCATCAGCAACACCACCAACAACAGGTGTTGGCGAGGATGCGGGGAAAAAGGAACCCTCTTACACTGTTGGTGGGAATGTAGACTAGTACAACCACTCTGGAAAAAAATTTGGAGGCTACTTAAAAAGCTGGACATCGATCTACCATTTGATCCAGCAATACCACTCTTGGGGATATACCCAAAAGACTGTTACTCCAGAGGCACCTGCACATCCATGTTTATTGCGGCACTATTCACAATAGCCAAGTTATGGAAACAGCCAAGATGCCCCAGCACTGACGAATGGATTAAGAAAATGTGGTATCTATACACAATGGAATTTTATGCAGCCATGAAGAAGAACGAAATGTTATCATTCGCTGGTAAATGGATGGAATTGGAGAACATCATTCTGAGTGAGGTTAGCCTGGCCCAAAAGACCAAAAATCGTATGTTCTCCCTCATATGTGGACATTAGATCAAGGGCAAACACAACAAGGGGATTGGACTATGAGCACATGATAAAAGCGAGAGCACACAAGGGAGGGGTGAGGATAGGTAAGACACCTAAAAAACTAGCTAGCATTTGTTGCCCTTAATGCAGAAAAACTAAAGCAGATACCTTAAAGCAACTGAGGCCAATAGGAAAAGGGGACCAGGAACTAGAGAAAAGGTTAGATCAAAAAGAATTAACCTAGAAGGTAACACCCACGCACAGGAAATCAATGTGAGTCAATGCCCTGTATAGCTATCCTTATCTCAACCAGCAAAACCCCTTGTTCCTTCCTATTATTGCTTATACTCTCTCTACAACAAAATTAGAGATAAGGGCAAAATAGTTTCTGCTGGGTATTGGGGGGGGAGCGGGAGGGGGTGGAGTGGGTGGTAAGGGAGGGGGTGGGGGCAGGGGGGAGAAATGAACTAAGCCTTGTATGCACATATGAATAATAAAAGAAAAATGAAAAAAAAAAGTACTTAATGACTTTATCTCCCTCCCCTGATTTTAGACAACAAACATTCCTTCTTCCAATTCTCTATTAAATCATGACTCTAAAGATAAGATGCACCATAATATGTCCATTTGATATGGTATATCTTAATATGTTTTTTGCTCAGTACTGGAATTTGAACTCAGGGCCTTGTACTTGCAAGGCAGGTGCCCTACCACTTGAGCCACGACCCTAGCCCATTGCTTGACACTATGTATTATAATGTTTAATTCTCAGGCTGAGAAAATTTAAGTTGGTGGAGCAAATTAGTACAGCACCTTTGGCTTCAATAATTTAATAATATTTTGAGTATTTTGCATCTACCACTGAACATGCCAAGCCAAGCCAGAATAAGTGTCTAGTCCTGTCACCACCCATTTGTAGACCCCAAGGGCTATCAGAAAAGGTTTCTTTTTTTTTTTTTTTTGAGACAGTATCTTGCTACATAGTCTAGACTGGCCTTGAACTTGCAAGCAAGTTCATCACTGCATCACTCCCTGATGACAGTTTTACTCACTCGTGTGCATAAGGCCATGAGTCTGCAGAGGTGAGTAGAGGAAAATTTGAACTGAGAGAATCTGGTCTTTTGGTCATCAATCCTTATATTGATTTGGTTGTAGGACTATTGCCCCAAGTGATTCAAGGTCAGGTTTCTTGAAACATCCAAACAAGGGTGAATAAATTATGTTTGGGGATCAGCAGAGGCTGCCATTGATCCACCTAACTTCTCAGCCATGCTGTACCATATT